TACACTTTTGTTGAACAGACCTTTTGCGGCGTTGAATAATCTTCTTCATTTCCTAGTCCAAGTCGACCTAAATCAAGAGTAATTCAATATCAACGTTTCATACATATTCTGACACTACAAAGTGCAGTAGGCTACAACGAAAAATTCGTTTTCTTGAGTGGGATTCCAACTCCCATTTTCGAGTTTCTAGACTGCCGCTCTACCCACTGAGCTATACTGTCAAAGTATTTTAAGTGCATGAACTATTTTCGCAACGACTTAACGTTTATCTTGGAGGAGACAAGGAACTCTTGATTGTTCTCTGCAGTATCACAGTAAGTATGAAAGCAGTTTTTCATATCTCTGGTTCTAAATGGTTCTAAAAACAACGTTCTACACCATGCAAAGAAAGCAGGAAATGAGACTAGAGCTATGTGAATGTCTATAGCACCAACCTTGTTCACCACAGCCCCACGAATAAACACCAGAATCTAGGACATATAAGATAGATCGGAATAAAAATAAACACAATTACTATATAGTTGGCTTTCATCATACTCCAGTTCAGTACACATTTAAACAAAAGAATTTCATTATAGAATGCTATTATTTTACTTCCATCTGCCTCTGTGTCAAGGTCTCGTGGAATTGCTGGAAACCCAGCTATATCTGCATGGCAATACCCGGCCCTATATTTTATAGCCATGCACTTATCGCATCACACATGTCTACGAAAAACACTCAGGATTTATCTTGAACACATAAAAAATGAAAGAGGTAAAAGCAAGCAGGCTAAGGACTTTTGACAGAAAGGCTGACGCGAAGGCTTGCATGCACACAGTATTGGTCGGTCACGTTGTCAGAATGTCTCAAAATAGAGTGCATGGGAACAGAATAATTTCCTAAAGGTGGGAGGAGTAGACAGCCGGGAGACAATTGAAACAAGGAAAAACTTGAAGTAAAGCAAACGATATGGCCCACCGCTGGATGTGTGCACATGCATGCATGCATGCACGGAACGAATTAAAACCAAGACGCTTACGCTACATTAGACAGATTTAGATCGAGGACGCGGACGTCAAAGACGACGTGAAAATGGCGTGTTGTGCCCAATGTATGGATATGCCACACCACTTTGACACCATTTTGACGTCGTCTTTGACGTCCGCGTCCTCGATCTAAATCTGTCTATTACCAGCTAATGCAACGACATGGCAATCCCCACAAGACACTTGTTTCACAGAATCGTTCATGAAGTATTCCACAATGGTAGGTTGATAAACCTCGTCTCCGAAATTCTGATCGCAGCCCAGACAACCGTAATAATCTGAACCGAACATGTAAAGCCGACCCTCATCTGTAAGAAACAATAAATGATACGATCTCGTCTCTTTTTCGTCCATCATACATATCTTATACATCTAAACTAAACTAACTTTATTTCATTGAACATAGTGTTAGTCTACACTAACCGGTGACGCACGCTGTAAAATCTTCACCACACGCGACTTGTCTTATTGCAATCCCATGGAGTTTCTCTACGGTCTTTGGAGTGCGACATGAAGCTTTAAAACTGTGGCCAAGTTGACCAACCATTTGACTCATTCCTTGAGTTGCCTAATAATAGTGTAGCAATACCAATCAACATTTTAGATATAGCCTGCGCTGATATGCAGAACATATTTTATTAAAATATATTTAGCTTCTCTCAAACTTACAGCCCAAGTGAAAAGCTCTTTTTCCACGTTTACAACAGCAAAATGGGATCTGCCTGCAGCAACCTTTAATAAAAGGTAAAAACAAACTAATACGCTGTCGTGCTTTAATGGAGGATTTCAGCCATAAACGAAATTTTGATCTAGACAAGAAAAACGAAACCATTACCATAGCTGGAAAGAGCATCTTAAAAGGAGTAACATTGCACAGTTTGGTTGCGAAATGTTGTAAAATGAGGAAAATGTAGCCCTGTGAAGTTCGCAAATTTTGTATATATTTGCATTACGCGCGGGAAAAATAACCATTTTTGAGCCGAAAGTGGTTATTTTTATCGCGCGTAATACAAGTATATACAAAATTTGCGAACTTCACAGGGCTCTATTTTCTTCATTTTACAACATTTAGCAACCAATCTTTGCAGTTTTACTCATTCTAAGACGCTCTTTCTAGCTGTGGTGTTGGATTTCGTTCTCAGCCTTGATCAGATTTTGACTTCCCCTATCGCTACCGTTAACCAATCAGATGCATTTTACAGCTTATATGACTTATATATACCTGCAAAACGGTGTTGCCTCCTTGAAAAATATCGATTTTCTGAGGAGTTTGTTTTCCTCCACCCCAGCAAAATACCTGTTGGAAAAACCGAAAAAAATACTTCTGGTTCGAACTACCAATCACAACAGGCGTGCACTCCAAAATCACTGACGCAAAAAATAAGGATGATCTTTACTGGACCTCTAGGGAGATCGTTTTAGAACTTAGAAGTAGACTAACGTTACCTCACTTATTCTCGATGATATTACTGGCTGAATTGGTTCGACAGCTGACGTAAGTCTAAAAATAGGTACGCATCGCGTACGTTATTCTGATTGGACAAGCGCATTACCAACGACGCAATTAAGTGATATTATAATTTCGGGAACACGAACCTCGTTCGTCTTGAGGATGTATTTAGCTTCCAAATCTTGCCTGACATCTCCCTGAATACATTGTTCATACAGGTGTCACAGGGCCGTAGCAACGGGGGTGGGGGGCTGGGGGCTTCAGCCCCCCCCCCCCCAAATAATTTGTAAACTAGCGATAATCTGTGAAGTTTGAGAGAGAAATAATGACCTATAATGCCCCTGACTAATCAGCCCCCAATACAAAATTGCTTCCTACGGTAGTGTCAAAAACGAGAATCACACAAAAATTGAACTTAGGCAAAATGGAATAGAACTTTCCATCTAAAGCCTCGTTTGCATTATCAAATTTTCTGTGATCACAGCAGGAATTTTGCATGGGTAAATTCTAAGAATTTATAAAAAATGTTTGAGGGAACTGACTCAGTGTTTAACACATTTCTGACATGTTCTTGGAAACGTAGAATTCACCTATGCAAAATTCCTACTGTAATCACAGAAACTTTGATATATAGTGTAAACCAGCTTTTAGATTTTAGAAAACGGACTTTTATTTGGCTTACCCCTCGATTGAAGTTAACAGGGAATGTTTCAGCACTTCATCTGCAGCGGGTCTGTCATCTGGGTTCTGAGAGAAGAGGAAAATGTTTTTGATGAAACTGTGTCCAGACCACCGGCAGGTAGGGCAGTAAACACGAAGCTCTAGGGACATGTTCTGTGACTGGTTGATTGTAACAACGACACAAGACGTAATTGGCTTACATAAACAAAAAGAATATTGTTCTTGCTTCGTTCTTTAGAAAATCCATTCTATAGCTTATTCTTTTGCAGACCTGCCAAGTCTCACGATTTAATCGTGAGACTCACGATTTTTGATGGTTTCTCACGATCTCACGATTACGTCCCCAAATCTCACGATTTTCGGAACTTATGAAATCATCGAAGAGCGCAACATCTAGTTACAATAAGGCACACTCTTCCAAGGAAACATCACACTTTATTAGTGTATTAATAATGCGCCTCTGAATGCGCAATGTACAACGCCAGAATTTTGTATGCGTGATGTTTGTGTATACAAAGTAAAAGGCGTGTCCTGCTAAGTTTATTGTCCTGTTAGTCCTAATATTACTCGTAGTTTTCTTGTTTCTGTACAGTGGAAACTACTAAAGCAATAAAGAAAAAACAGCCTAAACAGCCTTGCATATACGGTTATATTAACAAAATATAAATGCATACTATCATAAAATTGAATATCTATTGATTATTTTCTAGTGTTGTTAAAGTTAACCCTGGTCATATTAAGTCTCACGATTTTTCAGTCAATCTCACGACTTTTTAGATAGCAACTCACTATTTCTGCTACTCAAGGGTTGGCAGGTCTGCTTTTGTCATTGTCATAATCAACCAATCACAGAACACCTTCCATGAGCTTCGTGCCGACCCAGGTAGGGAGCTTAAGCAAGTGATGTCAGTTTTCATCAAGACGGACGTCAGTTATCCACCTTCCCGTGACGTCAGTGTTGACAAAAACGTCCATTGCTTATAAGCTCACTGTAATACAGCATACGTTCTCTACGTTTGAACTAACATAATACCTGACATAATAGACTGTTAAGAATATCTCTAATTTCACCAGAATAACTTTCATTGATATCTTCATATTCTCCTTTTACGATATCCCAGATTAATTTCAGTTGGTTCTGGGAAAGATAGTTACATTCATTGATTACGTCTACTGGTTGTGCTTTAATTAAAATCAAGCAGAAAGTTCTGCATTCCGAACATCTAATTTGAGATTTCATGAGCATGAAAATTGAAAAAATACTGACTGAACGAATCTTACTGTAGCATCAAATACTTTCTTTAGAGTTAACAGTTCGTAAAGCACGCAACCAACTGCCCACAAGTCGCTCTTAGAGTCGTACCTATAAACGAAAGTTTCAAGTCAGAAATAATAGCTGCTACAACATGTCATGGTGCAGCAGTTTAGAACTCGACAACTGTCTCACTGTAGCTCAGGGGCCGGTTGTATAAAACTCTTAATCACTTTTTAATCACTATTTTGTAGTTAAATAGTGATTAACTCTCAAATACGCGCTTCTTATTGGATGACGTTTCCACTAACTATAGTTAAAGGGGAAGTCAAGTCCGTAATGTAAACAAACGGTTTGTTTACATTTTGAACTGCTGTATTTTTTAAAATATGATGTACTGTCTGAATATCTAACACCATTTTGGTTCGTTATGCTTCTACATGAATATGAAATAGAGTTTGTGTTCAGAAAAATTCGAAACATTCAAAATTTGGGCAATGTTTACCTCAGAGGGCCCTCTATTGTTATGCGCAGAACCGATGCGCAGAACGGACTTGACTTCCCCTTTAACTTTAATCACTTTTTTATACAACCCGGTCCCAGTAGGTTAGAGCGCTGCACTGGAATCGCAGGGACGCAGGTTCGACTCCTGCTAGAGGGCTGATAGTTGCATTTTTCGCAACTGCTCCTGGTTATGTCTGATAAATGTACAAAAATTGCACTCAAAACTTCCATCAACAAAATCCATTCAACAATTAGTTATATGGAGAGAGATGCGCCCAAAATCCTGATATTTTATATAAGTTAGCGCTAATTCAGCTTTGAACAACCGTGCCCTGGTTTCCATATGGTCGTAAAATAGAGTCATGATCTTTCTCAACGCCCAGTTTATAATAGTTTATACCGTAAATATATATGTATACTGTAAACCACATATAAATAATAAGTATTCTCTACCCCTCTAGTTATAATCACTCCGCGTATTTTCAGTTCTAAAATGTTGTATTTCCGAGTCGGCTGATGAGAAAGATGTGACTCAATCTTTACGACCGTTACGACCATATGCAAACTAGGCTTTATTACCTTTCCCCTTTGCAAAGTTCAGGAGACATGTAGTATGGTGTACCAACAACCTGAAACAAAAATTTGAAAGTACAACAGTGGAACAGAGCTAGTTAGCCTAGTTTAGACTGTTATACTTATACAGTTATAGTCTGTAGCAGATGGTGGTCAACTGCTCGTTATCAGAATAAGAAAATAATATTCATTCACTGTCTAAGAATTGAGAAATATAGTTTTAATGTTCTTGCTCCTAAAGTGTCAACAGTTATGACAAGACTTGACAAGGGATTAATTTATATATCAAAAAACATAAGGAAAATATAAAAAAATAGAAACAATTCTTACAGTCTCTGCCATTTCGCGAGGGTCTTCAAGAACTTTGGAAATGCCGAAATCGCCAAGTTTTAACAACCCAGACTTTGTCAGAAATATGTTCAAAGTTTTTATGTCTCTACAAGGAAATTAAATGATAGCTCAATCAATTAATTCTAAACTGTTCTCAATCCCTAGATGTCCAACAAGAAACATCCCTGTGTATTTAGAGACACCACAGAATATTTAGAGATGATGAAAATAACCTGTGTAGTATGTCATTATCATGTAGATGTGCCACAGCACTGACCAACTGATAGAAGTCATGGATAACCTCCTGCAAGACATTTAACTTGTCTTTCAATAACAATTAAAATATTGAAGTGTTTTGAAATTTCCCACAACTCTATCATGCACTGATACGAAAAGCAGACTTACACTCTCTTCAAACAAGGATGTTGCTCGAATGATTTTATCATGCAAGCTTCCACCTAGATAAATATATGACATATATCAAAATGGGGGAACGGTATTCCCCATGACACATGTCAACAACACTGCACAGGAAGAAGATGTCATGTGTATGTAATACAATCTGCAGACATGCATGTTTCGGTGTTCAATGCCTTGTCAGTGCAGCTTTGTAGACATCTGCATATGTGATGACCACAGTATTAATACTCATGTGCTTCTCTCATCAAGCACATGTGGTACAACATGTGCCATCAATGCATCAGACATGCACCACAATGAGTGGTGATGACCATGCCCAATTAAGTGACCAAGCCCAATTAATTTTCATGAACGTTCCCCAACTTCTAAAATGTGGAAAATGTCACTGCTTAGAATGCATTAACTATAGTATGGACACATTGCAGTAGGGTGCATTAGCTAGGCATTATTTCAGCTCAATGGGTTATTCAAGAATGAAAATAAGAGCATTATATACCATTACAATATTCCATTTCAATCAGCAACAGATTATCGTCCATAAAATTATTAAAATATGCAACAATATTTGCATGATTGAGTAAGGACAAGATCTCAATTTCTTTCATTGCATTATTCCTTTCTTTTTCATCTGCTTTTGATAAATCTACTTCTTTCCAGACAACAAGACTGTTATCCTACAATATAAAATAATTATCTGACTTCACTAGAATCTAAAGACTATATATCAGTGAAGCATGGCTCAAAAAACAGCTAGATAAAGGCTATGTTTACACAAGTGTACCAGATAGCATTCCAGTGCTGTAGCAAGCTCGATAATTGGGGGGGCGGGGGGCGGCTCATATTCATATATTTGTGTTCGGCATTATTAATTTCTTTTGAAATCAATTGTTTTTATGGTCTGTGAACACAAATATATGAATATGATCAATTATCGAGCTTGCTACGGCACAATCGGCACTGCATTCTGTACCAATGTAATAAACACCTATCCACACCTTTTAAGAATGCTATTTTCAGAGGAATTATTGCAACATACTGTAGAGATGCTGTTTAAGACCCTCCGCTTCTGAAAATTGCACATTTCATATCAGATAGGTGCTTTTTCACACCATGCATTACAGAAAGCTATCCGGTGTGGTTAAAACGTAGCCAAAAGGTATGGCACATGAACAACAGATAGCATTACAAAATGTTGTCATTGTTTTGGAAATAAACTATTCTCCATGCCATCACAAGGGGAATAGGCCTCCTGAGCTGTCAAACAATGCCATGACTGAATGGCATGGAAAACAGCAGGATTTTCAAGACAATGGAACATTCTGATCATTGAATCATGACTAAATGGCACAATCGTTATGCTAAGTATATTCAAAGGGCCATATTTGTTCAGCAAACAGAACGCAGCTGTCTACACAAAGTCAGGTTATTAATTATTCAAACCATTTGGACGACATTTGGGGAAGGGCAAATACCGTAAAAATATACAAACAGAAATGTACAATACAACACTACAAAAACCACTATAAATTTTATTGTACCAAAAACATCATTCTAAACTACTTGCTGTGTAAAAACTAAGTTCGCTTTTGCACTTTATACACAAAAACGAAAGGTGAATTAATATGCATACATTAATTTGATACGAGCAGATAAGTCTTAAAATGTCAGTGTGTGATTTCTACGATCCTACCTCGATTTTTCTATACAAATTTGCTTCTCCAAACGCCCCTCTACCCAGAGTCCGCACAAGGATATAGTCTTGTTGAGCATCAGATCCCAAAATAAAGTCAGACATCTCTCATCTAGTTGTGAAACATGCAACCAGCTACATTAATTATTTAAATTAAAAACCTTCTTCGATTCCACGCAATCTGCGATAATTTATAGCCATAAATCTAAATATTTTTTTATTAAAACATTCTTGACAACTTGCCAATGCAAAAATACCATAAAGTATAAATACAATTTTTTTAAAATAGAAAATTTGCATCCCAAATTCGGAAATTCCTAGTATTTTGTCTATTTTGGAAACCAAAATATTTTTAAAGTTTGTTGTCGTTTTCAGGCCTTCAAAAAAACCCGCGAAACACGGCCGTTCACTGGGCAACTAACGAGACATAATGTGTATGTTTACACCAAGTATCGCAATGCCAACTATTTCCAATATGGCTTCCCTTTGAAATATCGAAAATAAGAAAAAATCGTTATATTGTCAAATCATGGCCTTGTTTATTGGAAAAGGACAAGAGGCAGAAGTCTACCATCTTTCTCAACAATTAGCACAAGCGGTAGAAATTATATTGAGTCCAGATTCTTCGCGAGACAAGCGTGTGGCGGCTACCAGGGTGAGCACTTACAAAATCACCTTTGTTTATTTGGTTGTTTCACTTGTTTGTTTGTTTACAGTTGTTTATAACAGTTCAGTCTGCAGTCATGCATGTTATGATAGTTCAGTCTGCCATGGGTATTCGGATGCAACTTGGAACGGTGATGGCACTGTATTTATATGCATGTACTTGCATCAAGCGCATGTGGTATATCATGATCATGGTGACATCGACGTACTGGACATGCGTGAATGCGTGATGGTGTTTATACTAGGAGTTACTATAGCAAGAAAAGTGCTGCCTCAAACTTGCCACTGTCAAAATATTAATTGGGAAAAGGCTTGGGCACACATTGGGCAATTTCATGTTGTTTAATGCGCCGATGACACCATGAAAGAGCACTGCTTGTTACAAGCAGAATGAGCACTTTAGCACTTGTGGCCTTAGGGCCATTCCATTTAATATACACACCCCCCTATGGATGAGGTCTGATAGTTTTGAGACCCCTCAGAAATCAACTGCGGTTCGACACGCCTACCCTTAAGAAATGGGATTTTCATAGACAACCGTCCGAATTTTTTTTCCAAACGGTCATACTCATCAGAAATTCCTATGGATGAGGTTGCTATTTTTCTGACCCCTCAGAAATTGCCATTTATGAAAAGCGACCCCTAAGAAATTTACATACAAAATATTAACCCCTCAGAAACAAAGCTTTTGAGAGCCAACCCCTCACAATTTTAGAGGGTTTCTACAATAATTATAAACCCAACCTCTGGCGAATATAGAATAAAGCCATCTATTTGTGTTTTTGACACGTTTAATATCTGGTATTTTTTAATAATACGTTTGATTGTTTAGATGTGCACGATTCCCCAGAAATTCGTCGTCCTGGTGGACAAACCCTAAGAATTTTTTTAAAATTCAGGCGATCCCTCAGAAAACTTCATCTCCAATAGCATGCTGTTCAGAATTTTTCATATTTTAGACAACCCTTCGGATAAACTTTTATTTGACGTTATAAACGTCAAGAAATTTTAGTAAATTAGAGATGACCCTTAAGAAATTTTAATAATTTACAGGCAACCCTTAAGAATTTTGTCAAAATTCAGACAACCCCTCAGAAAACCTCATCCATAGGGGGGGGGGTGTATATTAAATGGAATGGCCCTTACTGTCGTTCCAATTGAAGTGTTGCTCAAATATTGATTCAATACAATACCTCGGGCTGACAAATTCATTTGATCAAGTTCCTCGAGATATTCATACACTTCCTGTGAAAGAGCCAATTCCAAGTATTTGATCATTTCTGGTCACTTCCTTTCTATTTATCATTGGTTAGTTGCACAAACAACAAAGGTGATTGGTGCATTCAAACTATTCAACAGGAAGTTTACAATTATACTAGGAAGTGCATGAATATCTCGAGGAACTTGATGAAATGAATTGGTCAGCCCGAGGTAATGTATTGAATCAATATTTGAGCAACACTTCAATTGGAACGACAGTA